TAAGCAGGTGAAATTGTGGACTCACTAATGGTTTCATAATACCGTGATTCTACTTCTTCAACTTGAGTTTTTTTCTTGGTCTGAGATGTGATGCTCTTGAAGGTTGACTTGTGTATATCCTGATACATAAGGACACACGTTGCTAATATTGCTGGCTAAGCCAAAACAGTCTCAAAGATCCTCAATATATTGAGTTCTTCATTTCTCAGTAAGAGAATCCTTTGGGTCCTTTGGGATCATTTGGATTTATCCACTTAGGAAAGTCGGGAACCTTCCATAAGTGTCAGAAACCTCACCTCCTCAGTAATGTTCTGAGGCTCTAATATATAGGAAACACCCCAGTGCCTGCCACACAGTATCTCATCAGCTTTCCTCGACCTCCAGTTTTTAAAATAAACTAATAGAAAAGTAATAACTGAAAATCCAGGTGGTAAGAGTCTTAAGGGACTAGCCATTCAGGTAAAACATGGTGATTGGCAGTAACAACGTATCTGCATTGACTTCACAGTGATCATGCATTTCAGAGACAAAAGCTAAAGACTATATCACAGGATTTCAGTAGGGAAATTCCAGGAGTAACTTCCCTCTCCTTGCCACACATTTCTCTCTGTACTCTGCTCACACCCCACTTTAGTATGATCATGGTACGTGGATAATTGGCTACACACCCACCCCATTCCTCTCTGGATTTATTCACCTTCATAGTTGGATTGGGGTCCAGGATCTTGCAAAAGAAGCTGAAAATTTAGTGGAGGTTTGGGTAGAAGCTATAGACAATCTTGACTCCCTCCTGAGTCAGGGAGCTCCATTCAGCTTGATTTTTCTTTATCCCTGTGCACTTGGCTTCACATGGGCCCTGGCCCTCTCTAAACTACATCTCCCAAAGCTCACTTGAGTTCAATGAAGCAAACTTCTGTGTATCCTCTTTCTCGGGTTCTTAAATTAAGAACCCCCTATTTTGCCAGGTGTGATGACACATGCCTTTAATCCCAGCACCCAGGAGTCAGAGGCAGGTGAATCTCTGAGTTCAAGACCAGCCTCGTCTACAGAGCAAGTTTCAGGATGGCTAGATCTACACAGAGAAACCCTGTCTCAAAAACAAAACAGAACCTTATTTCCCAGTTGTACCAGTAAAAAGTAATGGCCCATAGTCTCTACCCCATGCCTCTACTTGCCTCTTAAGTAACTACAAAATACAATGCAAACTTACCCTACCTTACGACTGTCTTACAGGGATCTCCACACTCAAAGACTAAGATTGGGCTCTGTCTATATCGTCATCACTGGCCTTGCCCTGAGACTATGAGGAGGTTGTCCATTGCAGCGTTTAACATAGGCTCAGCAGTGTTGTACTGGGGATTGTTATCTATGCCATCCATTAGTCCTGGGTAGGCAGAGTCCATAACCCTAAGAAAAACTTTGGAGGGAAATGTTTTAATGTAGCCACAAAGAATTTACCAGAATGCAAAGGAGAGGTGTGATGTGATGGATGGCCTCTTTGTGGATTTCTGGCCACAACCACAACACAAGTGGGGTTTCCTGTCTCCATCATTCTCCCTATTCCTTCCCCCACCTCCCCCACTCTGTTTCCCTCTGCCACCTGCCTCCTTCCCTTCCTCCCTTTCTCTTGTCTTTCTCTAGAGTTCTACTTACAACAATCCTCATGCTTTTTAAATTGCGTTTAGCCGGGCGGTGGTGGAGCACGCCTAAATCCCAGCACTCGGGAGGCAGAGGCAGGCGGATCTCTGTGAGTTTGAGGCTGGGCTGGGCCGATAGCCTCCAAAACAATACAGGGAAACCCTGTCTCGAAAAACCAAAAAAAATGCGTTTACCTGTTTATTTTATGTATCTGCACAGGTGTGTGCATAGCACTTCTGGGGAGGACAGCCAAGAAGTGTACTGCACGTTTGTACACTTTGTGGGCTCACAATCTGTTGTGGAAGTTAGATGTGTGCAAGAATGAACAACATACAAAATGGGTAAGAGTGGTGGTTGTGGTTGAGACAGTGTCTCAGGAATAGAGAAGAAAAGTTCCTGATGAAGATATCCAGAAGCTGCTTGTGGATGGTGGTATAGTGAAGGCATCAAAGGCAGGGTGAGAGTGTTGGCTGTGGCCCACCAACCCTAACCTAGATTAATCAGCACAAAGCAGATGGCCATGGATTAAGAAACCAGTTGATGAGGGATATTGTGACTGACCCTCCATTTTGTCTAAAAAGGCAGCAAACTCACTGTTTTCCATCATGGGTTTTAATAGCTTTCATATTTATTTGTTTGTTTGTTTGTTTATTTATTTATTTGGTGTGTGTGTGTGTGTGTGTGTGTGTGTGTGTGTGTAGGTGAGAGATCAACTCTCAGGAGTCAGTTCTCTCCTTGTGACATCCAGAGTTCAAACCCAAAGTGTCAGGTTTGTGTGTGGGCAAGAACCTCTACCTGCTGGGCCATTGCACCAGCCCCGTGTAATACCATTTCCAGTCTTCTTTCCAACGAGGAAGGAGGCTGACCTAGGAAATTGAGATGGGCCTGAAGCAGGACCCAGACTTCACAGCTGTGATTAGGAGCTACTGTGGGTCTTACTGTTATTCCAGGGAATATACAAAAACATGGGTTTGACATGTGCTCATGTCAATACACACACTGCTGGTCTGGAGGGCTCAGTGGTCTTAGACTCCCACAGTGTCTCAAGCACAGAGAGCCTTGCTAGTGTCTTAGATTACCTTCCAATACAACCCTAGTCCTTGGCAAACAGATGAGGAGATAGGAGAGACTAGATGGTAAACGAGGTTCCCCTGACCTTCCCAGACAGCTGTGCACACAGATCATCATTTTTGCTGTCATCCAGAATAGGGAGACAAACAGATTTCAGCTTTGCCACAGGGACACTACAAGTGCATCTTTTTACATGATGTTTTATGTCTTCAGAAAGCATGGTTCTTGGGGATGCCAAGATGGGTCAGGGGGAAAACACTTGTGCCCAAGCACTTGCCCCTGAACTCCATACATGGAAGCCACATAGTGGAAGGAGAGAACCAAATCTTGGAAGTTGTCCTCTGACCTCCACACAACTGCCAGTGCACACACAAACAAATGTATAATATTTAAAGAAAGAAGGAAAGAAAAAAAGAGAGGGAGAGAGAGAAATGGTTCATTCTAAGACTCTCCACTTTCTGCCAGTTTTATACAGCACTCAGAACACTTTGGCATTTACCACCACTTCTAAAAGAAATGACATAGTGCATGAAAGATGTGGATGCTAAAAACTGCCCTTTGTGCACTGTGCTCTAGGGGGGTCAATGACTCGTCCACGGTCAGACAACGTGAGCAGGTGCTAAACGTGCCCCCTCTGGAGCCCAGGTCCTGCTTCTGTGCAGTTATGCGGAAGGGCAGCATGAGGCATTTTTCTCTCCTTGTAAAAGAGAAAAACTAAGGATGGAGAATGATTTAAACACACCTCAGTCGTTCTGCAGTCACTGCATTGTTTCTCCTCTAGAAACACCCTGTTGATTTTTAAATCCCTTTAAACCTCCCTGGCACCTGTATGGCCCCGGTCCAAAAATTATTAGCAAATCCCTTGCTCGTGCTTTTTATATTTAACCTCATAGGAGTCTCAGTGATTGTGCCTCCTGGTTTAGTTGAGAATTTAGGGGCCCCCAGAAGTTTTCTTCTTCTGTAGAAACTAGAGTCATGTAGTGCTCAGGCATCAATATAAGAATGTATTCATCCTCACCCTCCCACCCCTCATTTTCTTAGTCAAGTATGGATGTGCGTGTGCGTGTGCGTGTGTGTGTGTGTGTGTGTGTGCGTGCGCGTGCACATGTGCTTGTACACACACACACACACACACACACACACACTAGTTCTTCTAGATTTTCAAAGAAAAAGTGTAGTCAAATAACCTTGTGCTCTTCCTGGATGACAATGTCTCTGAAATATTGGTGAAAAGAGTCAAAGGAAAGTGACATAGGGAGATTGTCAGAGTTAGCTGCTCATAATATGTGACACAGTTTCCTTTTAGGGCAAACACTGAGGCTGCAAACATAATGAGAATTTCCCAGAAAATTCATTATAACAAAGCATAATACAAGCTCTCTGGGCACAAAAATAGACCCAAGGAAAGCGACTCCCACATAAGACCTAATTAAATACTTTGATGTCAGAAAGCAAAGCAATGAGGATGGGAAAGTCAAGTCAGACCCATGTGAAGGGCCTACATTCACATGGAAAAAGAGAAGTAGTTCCCTAGTTCCCGTCCCCCCTCCTCCCTCAGTCTCTTCCCTACCCTTCTCTTCTTTTCTTCTCTTCCATGAAGGAAGAGTAAGATTCGGGAACAATGAGTTGTAAATTCTTCAGCCAATTAGCCCAGTGACTTACTACTGTTTCTAATGCCCAGAATGTCACAGGCTGTTTTGCAGCCGCCCCAAGTCGGTTTGTTAATAACAGGAAGCTAGCACCTCTCAGTACAGTGGATCAAGCTACACGGGAAAATAAATGCAAAAAACCTGGAGGGGAATAGCAGCAGACCGAGAGTAGCCTTGATTTAATTTAACATTTGGGGTCCGCACACATGAGCGTTTTAGTAGGCTTCATGGTGGAAGTTGCTGTCATTTGTAAAATATTCTGGCCAATTAGCTAATAGTGTGCTTGGATTTCTCCTGTTTTGATACAGTAATACTAAGTACATTGTGAAGCCCAATTATACAAATCATCCCCAGATGCCGTACCAGTCTTTCTTTATGAACTGTGTTTATAAATCCTGTGTGAGGAAATGTGTACTTCAGCAATTTAGACCATGTGTAAAAACATAGCCAATGGGATTGTCAAGAAAACAAGTTCCAGCGTAGGAAATCCTAATGTGCTCGGCTGGAATAACAGGGGGGTGCCGGGAGGGCCATGGTGCCAGGAGGGAGGACAATGGTCTGCTGGAGGACTTGTCGCTTTGCAGTGTTTAACCAATTTAGGAGGGTCCACTTCCCTTCTGTTGTTTTATTCTTGTCTTTTAGGATTCGACCTTGGAGTTTTTGAGAAAATTTGGAATTGGTTTTCTCTCGGGGACAATAGGCTCAATCTTTAACATCCCCTTTGATGTCGCCAAGACTAGGATCCAAGGGCCCCAGCCAGTTCCTGGAGAGATCAAGTACAGAAAGTGCCTTAAAACGATGAAGACGATCTACCAGGAAGAAGGGTAACAGATTGTTGCTTCTATAAATGTGCAAGCCCTAAGGGTTGTTGTTGTTTTTTGTTTTTGTTTTTTGGTTTTATGAGACAGGGTTTCCTTTGTGGCTTTGAAGGCTCTCCTAGAACTCACTCTGTAGACCAGGCTGGTCTCTCCTAGGCTGGGCTTATGTCTAAGGAGGTCCGTGGAATATACAAGTTTTGCAAGGCCACAGTAATGAGATGTTGACACAGGCACAGTGTTCTCCCACCACCGTGACCATGCAGAGAGGTCCAACTATACAATACACTAAATGTTTGCCTGAGAATACTCAGGTAAACTCCCTGCCAATGTATAGGATGCTATTGTACATTGTATGTCTTATTGACATGCAGGCAGAAACTTGTCTTCTGCCTGGAAAAGCTAATGAAAATTTTGTCTAATTGTGTTCACCTGTCAGATCTAATATGAGCATTCTGAAAATCTGGATTTTTGCATTTTTAAGTATTTGATTTTTTCTGATCTTTTTTCTAAGTTTTAGTTTCTGTCTCTTCTCTCCCCTTCCCACCAATATTCTCAGGCAAACAAGTGGCGCTTCATTATTTCGATCTAAACTGCATGGTATTTCCTAATGTGAAGCCTGAGCTTATGATCTTTTAAATTCAATTACAAATGTCATTTTTACCCATATATATGACTGCCTTGAAAGCAAGAACCGTCTCACTGATGAAAGATGTGTTTCTGATTGGTCAGGACTGATACAGCCTATAATAAAGAACCGATTAACTCTTTTCCTTCATCTAATTAGCTGCAGCAAATACCTAGCCAGATACTGTCAGGTTGTGGATGGGTGTCATTTCAAGTAGTTTCTTTGCAAACACTAAAGGAGCCTCTCAGTGACTCTGGGGTCTAACTACCTATTTCCTAAATAAGAGTTGTGCCCCTTTCTCTCTCTTCTGTTACAGGATCTTAGCCTTATATAAAGGCCTGCTTCCCAAGGTCATGAGACTTGGACCAGGTAAGATGCTCTTACCATTTCTGTCCTCCCCTTTATTGTCATGGTTCTGCTTCTTTTGTTACCTATGTAGGTCAGAAGCATAGAGGTTTGCCATCCCAGGAGAGGGAAAACGTGAGGGTATAAAGTTACCAGTGTCAAGAGACTGAAAGCACGCATTAGAAACACTCTACTTTTGCTTATAAATACTACTTATGGCTTTTCTGGAGGTCAATGAGCGCTAACACATGTCAGTAGGAAGAGCTCCACAGCTGCCAAAGCCTGAGTGAGCTCCAAGGCATACACAGTGGTTTCAGGCTGAGTTGAGGACTTTGTGAAGAAACCCATCTGCTGAAACTCTCCCCTGGGCTCCAGGGCTTGCTCCCCTGAGCATTGAGAATTCCCTGAATGTCATTCCAGTCACTTGTATGGCATGAAGCACTCACTGTCTCAGCCTCAAATCAGTTTGGTAGTGAAGACTCCTGGCTTGGGGACAGGAGACAAAAAAAAAAAAAGCTTGACATTCCCACAGGGAGAGTCAGCTGCCTCTATGTAAATAGATAAGAAAATGTGTGCTGAAGACTTCAACTGCCTGGGCAAATAGCCCTGGATTACAAGCTACCCTATGATTAAGTATGAACGTATGTTCTAAACCGCACGGACATTTTTTTTAACCAGATCCCATGCCCCTCCTTAGATATCCTGGTAGTCTTCTCTGGAATAGTTTCTTCTCTCTAGTACTAGTGGAAATCACAGGTCCAGCCCTAACCAGCTTCACCAAACACTAGACCCGAGTAGACCTAGTATTAGTGAAAATCGCAGGTCCAGCCGTAAGTTGTCTCAGAGACAGAAGGAAGATCCAGAGAGGATGGAGCTAACATGGAAATTGCCTGAAACCTTGAACCAACACTCTTCAATAATCTGGCCCCCAGTTCTGCTAGAGGCTTTCAAATGTTTGCTTGGATTTTTAAATGTTTCTGCATGAGGTATCCTAAGCTACTCTGGTGTTAAATGCAATGGAAAGGGTTGTGTTACCATCCTGCCTAAACCAAACTGTGAAGAACCCATCACCTATGGGAATGAACACTGGCCTCTCCTGCATTTCAAATGTGTGAGTCCTAGGGAGGATTTACAAGGACAAAGGCGGGGCTTTTGAGCTAAGGCCGATCATATTTAAGGGAGAAAAGAAAAGAAGACACCATAAAAGAACATGGGGGCCAGAGAGATGGATCAATGGGTAAAGATGCTTCCTGAGTTGTATCCTCCAGGGCCTGCACAGGGCAGGGAGAGAAGAGACGCCTGAAGTTGTCCTCTGACCACCACCCTCACCCTAGCGTGTTAAGTTTAATTCACAAATTAAACGTAACGATAGCGTGGGGCTGGGGGTAGCTCAGTGGTAGAACATAGAGCTAGTGTTCACTAGGCCCTGACCTTTGACATGTAAGGAAGGTGATGGGGAGGGGAAGGGAGAGGACTAGAGAGAGTGGAAGAAGGCTAGAGAGGAGGAAGGAAAGCAGGCAGGCAAGGTGGGGGAACATCCAGATGTCCCATCCTTCATTCTAGAGAGGCATTTCATCTTGTTGTTGGAAATGCTTTAGCAGCATGGCTAACGGTGAGGTGCAGCCTACAGAAGAGTCAGTCTTTGATTTCTATTCTAGATCTCACCAGGTTAAAAACTAAAGTGGTCTCTGTCTTTCTCTCCCTCCGTCCCTCCCTCCCTCCCTCCCTCCCTCCCTCCCTCCCTCCCTCTCTCTCTCTCTCTCTCTCTCTCTCTCTCTCTCTCTCTCCCTCTCTCTCCCCCGTCCCTCCCTCCCTCCCTCCCTCTCTCTCCCTCTCTCTCTCCCCCTCTCTCTCCCTCTCCCTCCCTCTCTCTCTCTCTCTCTCTCTCCCTCCCTCCCTCCCTCCCTCTCTCTCTCTCTCCCTCTCTCTCTCTCCCCCCCGTCCCTCCCTCCCTCCCTCCCTCTCTCTCTCTCTCCCCCCGTCCCTCCCTCCCTCCCTCCCTCTCTCTCTCTCTCTCCCTCTCTCTCTCCTCCTCTCTCTCCCTCCCTCTCTCTCTCTCTCTCTCCCCCGTCCCTCCCTCCCTCCTTCTCTCTCTCCCTCTCTCTCTCTCCCTCTCTCTCCCTCCCTCTCTCTCTCTCTCTCTCTCTCTCTCTCCCTCTCTCTCTCTCTCTCTCTCTCTCTCTCTCTCTCTGGGGTACTGCACACGCTTTACATTGTGAACAGTTAGTCAAAGCAAATGCAGTGATTACACACACACACTAACAACCCTCTGTAGGGCTTCTTGTTTGTTTGTTCATTTGTTTGTATTTTTAGAATTCCAGGAGACTTTTACCAGCTGAAAGGAGTTTAATAAGAGTATCTCCATGGGTTAAAAATGAAAATTACAGGCAGATAATTATCTTTGGTTTATGGTTACACAAACATGTGCAGCCTGTTGAATTTTTTGTTTTTAAATCATATGGCAGTGTGTGCAAAATAGCTAAGATCCAAATCAAGTTTCTTTTCTTTCCAAGAGAAGTCAACCTTCCACCCATGGATCCAAGACTGTTCTAAGTCATGCTCTGAGTATTTGTCCACATTTGGGCTTTGTAACTTTTTTTTCACATAGGCCATTCCAAGTTACAGAACACATCCTGTTTGCTACACCAGGCCATGTTAGCTAGGCAAATGCCTGTCCCGGTGTGCAGGTGCCCAGCATCCTCTGTGCTTACTCTCCTGAATCACGTTCCTTTGGTATCTCTAACAGCAAACCACTTCACAACCAGTTACACAACAGTCTCATCTGAAAAAAAAAGGGGGGGGTGGTCCCATGCCACCCAACTCTGCCTCCAAATTTTCAAGTTCAAATCTGTGTATATTTGAGGCAGACATGTGGAATGATGATGCTTAGCTTCCAACTTTGTGTTGTTAAGGTTTGCAAAGCAGAGTTTTAAAATATTCAGAAAGCAACTTCCAAACAAGACAATCCTCTTTAAACGCCAGACTTGTCTGTCAAAGTAGTCTTGGAGAATTCTTTCTTAAATGCAACTAAGACAATGCCAATTGTGTCTGAAAAAGAGAAATCTATTGCCTAGATGTGAAGAACCTGAAAGTTTTTGTTCACAGAAAAGTCACATGCCTTTATATGACTAAATAAGTCTTTATTTGTTTACTTTTTTATAAAGCTGAAAGTGCCTGAAAAAGAATCTGATGAGAAATGATGAAAGTTGCAGAAACTCATAGGGGAAAAAATGTATTTGGAAACACAAATGGTCTTGATTTTACCCTGAGAATTTTCCACAATTGTTGGTTTCTATCTGTGTATCAGGGCCCCAGAACTGATGATTGCAAAAGCCCCAGTCTGATAAGGCCTTGGTGGCCTGGGGCAGAAGTGGGGAGCCATGTCAGCGCCTGTCTCACAGAACGGTGGTGAGATGCAGCTCTCTTCTCTCCTAGGTGGTGGGGTGATGTTGCTGGTGTATGAACACACCTACGCGTGGCTGCAGAAGAACTGGTGATGGACTAAGAAGTGTTTTCCCCTCGACGTAACAGAGATGTGATCTGCAGTCCCATGAAGAGAAGACAGTCAGCTAAGCTAGACAGACAATGAGGAGGGGAAGACAGCCTGTTCCGATGTTTTAAAAAGTTTTAGACAGCAGGACATGGCACTTTGGGCCACAGACATAGCACTGTGAGAAGGAAAGTAACATGAAGCAATGGAGGATGTAAGTTAGGTAGAAATAGGGTAGAGGTCAGATGCAGTTCATAAGTGTTACACAAACTGTGGGACTCACGCTGCATCACAATGAAACCTCACTTAATTTTTCTGAGAAGTCTACAAATACTTAAAGTCTTGAAAATAAATTGTTCTATGGCTGATTTCCTGAGAATTATTCAAAGACTGAGTTACAAGCCAAATTTTAAATGCTTTTTATAAGGAATTGCTTTTCCCTAAATCATATTTTAAAGGGAAAAAAAAGAAAAATGTAAATATACCAACACAGCCTTTTCAGAATGTTTAATTTTGTGAGTGCTATGTTAAAGTGTGAGTTTGCTGGTTTTCTTTAATAATAATACCCAGTTAGGGTCTATTTTCCTAGATCTATTTTATATTTTGTGTGGTGGTTTAAGTGGGTTATTTTTAAATCATGCTATTGGAAGTCTTTCATTACAAATAGAATGTATAATATTATATTAAACTGATTTCCTTTACATAGTTCATTTTGAAGACAAGTTTTATTACTAAGATATTTTTATGGTAGGTTACAAGTTGGATGCACTCCCTGAACCCCTCTCTGTTGCCTGTATTTGCCTCCTGAGCCCTTACCTACGCCATTCTTTAAAGGGATGTAGGCAAATAAATCTGTTCTCCAGATTCTTAGGGTTAGGTAGCATCTTTAAGTATAAAAGCAACTGTCTAGAATAGTAAAATGTCTATAATAAAGAGAAAATCTTTCAAAATGAAAATACATTCTTAGCATTTCCAAACATTCAACCACTAACATGCACTCAAAAAAAGAAGAAAGAAAAGAAAAGACATACAGACAGAAAGAAAGAAAGAAAAAAGAAAGAAAGAAACATAGCTTTTTGGTCTTGACATAACCGAAGCTTGTTTGTAAGTCTGCATCCTCTAATGAGACTACTTCAGTAGCTAAAGCCAACAAAAAATGTCAACATGTTTTAGATGACACCTGCTCTTAACTACTAATGTGAGGTATTTCTACTATGGGGGATTCTCACCAAAACATTTTGAAATAAACAGTAAAAATGACATGGTAATTATTTGTATTTATTAATTTAGAGCATTTGAAGTATAAAAATAAAAGGCTTTTGGCATACTGTATATACATACATCGCCTTCTCTTGTACATCTTTTCCAACATGCTTTTTTTCATTTGTATTTCAGCCCAATATTCAATTTGTGAGTCATTAAAAACAGAAAGCCAGGAGCAGGATGTTTTCGTGTCATGTGATTGCTTTCTGCCCTTGAAGGTAACACACACTGGCATCCCATGAGAGAGGGCCCAAGGCACAGCACGGGGAGCAGAGGGGACTGTGAAGAATGCCTGTATCAGTTAGAAGTCTTTACCCTGTGAGAGTCGAGAGAGCCTTAGCTTTGACCAACAGCAGCGGTTTAAAGATCAAGCAGTCCTGGCTTGACTGTTTTCCTGCTGTTAGTTTTTAAGTGGCTTCCAATCATAAGCGGTCATGAATAGCCAACTCTATTTAGGCTTTCTGTTGTCTTAAAAATTGCTCCGTGTGGATTTACTGCTATTAATGAAAGACCTGGGAAGAGAAGTGAAAGTGGAAAAGAAAACTTTGATGCCATTAATATTAATTTCTTAAAATACAGGGAAATATAAATAACAATAAGATTTCTTAATTTAGATAAGGAAAATAACATTATTAGTTGTTTCCATACAAACAATTGATATTTTTCAACACCCCTAATAACCACCTAAAAACATTAGATAAAGAATAATTCTGTACCTTAAGTCAATTTTTCTGGATGGCAGGCAAGTTCCTCTATTGTATGCTTTGCAAGTCTCCACCAGAATATTGAGTTAGATCTTTGTGCCATTCGGTTATAGTCTATCTTCTCACCACACTGGAAACTCCAGACGTCAACCTCAACCGGGAGTTTTACAAGATCAAAGGAATACTATGGCCCTGAGAGTTCATTGGCTCCTTCTGCTTTTCTTCTCCTGAAGTTATAATCCTGTTTGTAGCAATGAATGTCGGTTGCTTTACAAAGAAATGCAGTGTGAAGCTCTCTATAAGACATCTGCTGTTTGAAAAAAAGCAGTTCCTTGAACATAACTGTGTCAAAAATCTGCTTACGGTTTATATCTTAAGAACTCAAAGACTAGCTGATGTAGCCATCTGAACTTTAGAAGAGGCGATGAAACCTGCAGAGCAGGACTGGGTTGCTCTGTCAGCTGTGCATAGCACAATTGCAGAGAAACCAAATCTGCCAACAAACCGGCATCTTTAATATCCACATCTAGGGAGGTACCTGTTTAGTTATTGAATGAAATTAATGCCAAGACACTCCACAGTACAGTAACATCTCAACAGATGAACTTTGCCAATGTTCTTTTAACCCTATAGGTTACTTTTAACCCTATTTTGCCAAGCAAGAGGAACCTCCTAAGCAGAAGGAATGCAAACTGTAGACTCTTGCCAAGGAAAATGAATTAATCTAAAGTAAGATATATAATCACAGGGTCACACACATATATGCATATCCCCAAAACTCTATTCATAACATTAAAGTGATAAGCAAATCGGTCTAGAAAGGTTTAGCAGTTAATCTCTGTTCTGTAATTCTGTAAATGAATAGAGGGAATTTGCTAAAATTTAAATAGCATTTGTATTTCTAATAACAACACCAATTGACCTAAATGTGAGACATGATTCAGTACACAATGTAAACTTCACAGCAAGTCATTGTTACATTCATTAGAGAAGAATTCTCCATTTCCTTTTAAGTTACAAGATATTTTGGGGCTGAGATTTCTAAACACACAGGTAAGCCAACAGTAACAGTACAATTTCGTTTCACAGTGGTTTTTTTATCACGTAAAGTTCATTTTAAGTGTCTCTGCAAAAGAAATATTTCACATTAGACTTGTGTCTAGGTGATTTCCCTCAGAGCCTTGTGGTACAGGTAGGTATGTTACAGCCTCTTGTTGCCCTATGCTTGGCATGTGTGTTCTTTGACTGGGATACAAATAGGAAAGTGGCTTGTTTTGAGTCATCTGCTGTAGAAAGAAAGTATCCTTCGTGAGATGCAAACCGTCACTGCACACACACACACACAATTTGGGGGCAAGTCCAGGTCCAAGAGCCCAAGTGACCCACCACCAAATAGAGAAAAACACATTGCCAGAAAGTCACCTTTTCGGTAAAAGAAAAAAAAATAGAGGTGGTAGTGTTGGAGGAGGGGTATCCCATAGAATGAAGACAAAAAAGCATCATCACAGTCCATATTTACAAGCTAATAGAAATATAAACATTATTGTATTAAGAACCAAGTCAAAACACCAAAAGGAGGAAATTTCCTATCTTGCTTGGGTTCTATATATATTTTTCAACAAAATATGTCCTCTTAAAAATAAGCAAAAGATCACACAAGTCAGTTATTGATTGGTTTCCTAATGGTGAATTAAGGCTTATCTGGTCACATTATTTGATTAAAGGGTATATCTGTTTTCCTTTATTGATTTTGCAAAATATCAACAATTGCACATTTCAAAAGTTCAGGTTGATTTAGAATAAATATACATGTGTGGTTTTACCAAAGATAGGTCTTCAAAGTCCCATAAGCCCTTTGAGGGGTAGAGATTTCTTCACTATGTTAAAACAGTGTGTGGGCAACACAAATGCCTCATTCAATCTCTAGAGTTGCTTTTGTTTTTAAATCCTATAGTCATGCCAAATTTCTGCAAAAAAAACAAAGACGTTACGACAAGAAATATTTAAGTGTCATCAGCATAGAGATTATGAATCCATAAAGCCAGCTCTTGAGGCAGGCGGGCTGGACCACTGGGGTGTGAGAAGGGGGAGGATGCGCTGAGAGAGGAGACCAAAGTGAAGCTGCTGGAAACGGAAGTTCCCATCAGAGTGCAGAAGCTGTGACGGAATGGCTACCTTCTCTGGCTGCCTGCATTCCCTTGAAAGCCAGCGATGCGGGAATGTCACAGTTGTGGGGGGACAGTGGGGTGCTGCCAGCATGTTGCCACCCATGCCCAGCCACATAACCAGAAGGGGCAGCACTGTAGGTCATGTAGGGTGACACTTGAGCTGGAGTGGGGTAAGGGGCCATGCTGGATGCTGATACAAAACTGCTCACAGCTGGGAGACCGTTTGGTGCCTGGGAGGAAAGACAGAAGAAACAAAAGAAAATCATATTGCAGTATTCAACATCTCTCCGGTCCTGAGACACAAAACAGAAATTGCGAGGCAGTTCACAGTATCGCGATTCTACTTCAGGGCTGTCTTTTTTTCCTAGACTTCCTTTTAACCTTACTTTGACCTAAAAGTATCCAGTCTTGCTACTTAAACAAACACAGTGCTGAAAAGCAAGATACTGTTCTTTATACAAAGGTTTTTGAGGAAGCTCTGGGCAGAAAATTCACAGTTCTTACTTGTGTGATTTGAAAGTGTATGAAGGTGAGGCAGGGTGAGAAAGAGTCAACTGTGATTAAGCGGCTCTCCACAGCCTTTGTCAACCTTCCTGGAACTTGGGTTTTGTTCAGCTCTTTTGTTGAGGCATTGTGACAGGCCTGTTTCATGTAGCTTTCATTTCCAGGAGAGAAGGGTGCAAGGTGTAGGTTGTTATGCTAGAAACTCAAAATGAGCAAACCTTCTGTTAAATAAAACATGGGCCATATTTTAAGAAGTCATATTGAAAATGACATTTGGACTAAGGACATGTATGATTGAGGTTTTTCTAGTAAGGATTATTGCTGTTGAGTTTCTTACTGTTGTTTAGTTTGGAGTTTGTTGGTTTTCTTAATGAAATTTGGGGATATGTTTTTTCATAGTTTTATCAGAAAGGAAATTTTCTCCTCAAATATGAATGAGTAAGTGTAGCTTTGAAATGAAAATTTTGCATTTGCAAAGTTTGGGGTTTTTGTTTGTTTGTTTGTTTTGTTTTCAAGGCCATATGGAGAAATCCCTTTAAATGAATTTAATGTGAAATCTTTGTTTGCAAACAAAATGCAATGGCTTTGGCAGACAAGCTTGCCTAGAAACCAGTGCTTCCTTGGCATTCAATAAATCATTGTTGGTATCGTTACTATTAACAACACCAAAACACCCTGATTTCTAATCCCTCTCTGGCTTGAGTATTCCCCACCCTTCAAGTGGTTCATTTTTTCCTCCCAGTTTCTACTCTGTTTAAAGATAAAGACTAAATCTTGTTTCCTGGAAATGACATGACTGAACTAACATGTCAACATGTTTCCTAGTGAAAAAGTAATGTAAATACCAGAATCGTATAAGAAAACATTATTTAATCCCTAGAGCTCAGTAAATCAGACACATATTAGATGCTTTGTCCAATTAAGTTAGGACAGAAATGGTGCTTTTCTTTTGTGTACTCAGATTGAGCCCAGGACTTTGAACACACCCAGTATGCCATCCACCAAGAAGCTGTATCCCTTCTCATTTAGTTCCAGAAACTGTTTTCTGAAGTAACTCATTTGGTCATCATTTTTACTTCCATGTCTATGAGAATATAATGGTGTGTGGTCTAAGGGCCTATTTTCTAAGTGTAAAAGGAATATCTATACATACATATATGCATACACATGTATGTGGGAGAGTATACATGGATGCACATTAGCATTGCCTGTAGAGTTCTGACAAAATCTCATCTTAAATCTTTGGTCTATAGGAATACATATATTGGGCTGGAGAGATGTCTCAGAGGTTAAGAGCACTGACTGCTCTTCCAAGGGTCCTGAGTTCAATTCCCAGCAACCACATGGTGGTTCACAACCATCTATAAAGAATACATATATTATATTCTTCTTTTTGTCATTGTATATTATTTTAAAATGGAAGAGAAGGGCTAGAGAGATGTCTCAGAGGTTAAGAGCATTTGGCTGCTCTTCCAGAGGTCCAGAATTCAGTTCCCAGCATCCATACGGTGGCTCAACCACCTGTAAAGAGATCTGGTGCCCTTTTCTGGCCTACAGACATACATGCAGTCAGAACACTGTATAAATAATAAATAAATAAATCTTTTTAAAAAATGGAAGAGAAAAGAAAAGAAAGGCCCTTGAGTACCTCGTATGTCCCAGGCACCTAGAAATATCCAACTTATTTTATAATATTATAAGGATTAATAAACAATAGCTCAGCCATGTGATGGTAATGCACACCTTGGATCCCAGCACTCAGGGGGCAGAGGCAGGTGAATCTGTGAGTTCAAGACTAGCCTGGTCTACATTTCAAATTCCAGGACAGCCAGGGCTACAGAGAGAAACCCTGTCTCACAAGAGACAAAAAAACAAGAAACAATAGCTCATTCTAAGCTGTTCAGCTTATCAAAATTACAAGATTATCTATATCATAATGTAATGTTCAAATGGAATTTAAATGTTTTTATTTGGGGTTGAGGATTTTGTTTGTTTTTGTTTGGGTTTTTTGTTTGTTTTTGCTTTTACTTGTTGGTTTTGGAGGAATTTGGGCTTTATATTAGTTTGTTTGCTTGTTTTTGAGACATGGCATCACTATATGTCCCTGATTGTCCTGGAACTCACTATGTAGACCAGGTTTGCCTCAAAACCACAGTGATCCACCTGCCTCTACCTCCGAAATGCTGGGATTAAAGGCATGCACCACTATGCCTACTTTTCGTTTTTATTTTTAAATGGGGTCTCACTATGTACCCAGGCTAGCCTCGAACTCATGTCCTTCTTGTCTTAACCTTCCAACCAGAGATCACACGTATACACCACTATAGCCAGATGAAATTAAAATGTATTTCAAAGGGCCTCCCAAATGATGTCCTTTTAAGTAAAGTTCATTCATTCAAAGTCATTCAAAGGAATGACTTCATATTGTTGTCCAATAAAATTGGAATTCTATCTTTTTACTTATTTATTGGGGGGATGTTTTCGAGACAGGGTTTCTCTGTATTGTTTTGTAGCCTGTATTGGAACTCGCTCTGTAGACCAGGCTGGCCTTGAACTCACAGAGATCTGCCTGCCTCTGCCTCTTGAGTGCTAGGATTAAAGGTGTGCACCACCACTGCCTGGCCTATCTTCTTTTTATGCACAAAACCATTTAGAAAGTTGGGAAATGACCACACATTTAAAGACCATCACTCCTGCCTGATGCTGCAAAGTCTTCTGTAGTCTGCTGTGGTGTTTTTCCTAGACATTCAGAAGGATGTGTAATTTAACCTCAAGCTACAGCACTAGTAAAAGATTCTTCCTTCTCCTAGAACTCAATTCTCTTCACTAGATACTTTTTTCTCTTATGAAAAAACAAAACAAACAAACACTTATGTCCCCTTTTTTAAGAATAATTATGTCCCAAAAGAACTTACTTTAGAGTTCTTGGATAATAAAAATCTATGCAACCATCAAATTACAGGAGAAGATGGGGGATAGCCTAGCATTGCAGAGATTATTGATTTAATTGCTTTTATCCACTATTCTATTTTCCCCAAGATGTGTTAAAATTAGTTTGAAATGTAATTATTCCAGTAGAATTATGGAATAGTGTCCACTTCTGTGTTCACCCCCTACCTACCATTAATTAGTGTTTAATACTACTAATACTGATGTGTATCCAGAAAAATAGAGTAAGAATATTACGGGATGATAGCATAGCTCAGTGGTGGGATACATTCTTGGCTTAGCATGCATACGACCCTGGGTTCAATCTCTAACACAGGAGGAAAATGTTAAAATTAGTTCTAAAATAATAGAAAACTTGACTCTACATTTTCTAAGTGCCTAATGTCAAAAGATTTAATATGTGTGGCAAAATAATGTTCTACATGGGAGAAAATATCTGTTGTTGAATTCTATTTTCCATCACTGCTAAATGTTTCTTATCTGTGCTTTTGGTGGGGTGCTGGGGGTGTGATTCACTATGTACACCCTCATTCTCGATGCAGTATAAGCTCTTCTGTTGTGTCTGAAATCGGCTTACATGGGCCCACTTATTAACCCACCCCTTAAATATAACCCAGAAAGAATGTATCAGACTCTCACCTCAGATAATGCTCCCTTCATGGGGAGGCAAAGCATTGGGCTTTAACCTTACTTTTATGTGCCTTATTCACTCCATAAATATATTCATTTATCAAATATAATATCTCCTATTAAGTTTTACATATCTACCCAACTTCTCATACCTAAAGTGCCAAACTTGCTTGTTATCATCTGTGGTAATACTGAGTATTTCAAGGTTCTCAAAACACCATGGTATTTGCTGGTTGTCAGTTTGGTGGTATGATCCCCTCTGTGTTGCAGAAAAACCCAAGAGGCAACAACAGGTTGAGGTAGCTTCATCATGTACAAAGTGAGACAACGGGTCACTTAAATGAAGAGAAATGGTAGAAATCCTCAGCCTTAGCAGAGTAACTCTCAGTTTATCCCTGTGTTTATGACTTGACCAGGACAAGCGGGAGTTTCATTCTGCTATTGGGAGTTCAGATTTCGAAATAGGGTTAGGTGGGGGGAGACTAAGCAAGAAAAAACAAAAGTGCTTAAACTAAAGTGCTTTAAAACGCCTTTGCCCCAGCTACCCTCATTGTTCATTCATTCCAGTGACCCAATAAGTACCAATTTTCTCACTATTAATTTTGAAACATGACATTAGCAAAAGTAATAAATCTCTACTGGGTAAAATGGTCATTATTCATGAAGAAATCACTTAAAGGGTCAAATTTTCCACGGCAAAGGAAAATAACCACAGGTAGCACTGGTTTGCTTATGCTCCCCAGTAAAGGAGTAAACGTCAACACCCCAAATCTGCTTAATGTTTTCAGTGACGGGCATGTAATTAATCTGAAAAGCTAATTAGGCTGAGTAGAGACTACCAAATGCACACCATAAATACAGTAGGAGCAAACATGTTAAATTACGCTATTTAATTGGATTGTAAATATGATTTATAAATCAACCAATATACAGAATCCCGAGGGAAAAGTAAACAAATTTTTCAAATGAAACCCTGCAAAGGAATGTAATATCAATTCCATCTCTGAAAATAATTTTGCCTAAATATTTCATAAATAAGACTTCAACCCTTTTGCCCCCTTATCACAAAGATCTTCCAAGAAAGCAATAATAATTTAGAATTCTTTTCCCTGAAAGAATGCTGTACCTTTCCTCTTCACAATCAGCTACCTTTACTTAATTTTGGAAATGAGATTTACTGATACAAAACAAAACAATACAATTGCATGCTCCAGAAAGTGTTAGTTCAGGAACAAACAGTTTTTATCTCACGAACACCTAGGAGACATCTTCTAGAGGAATACTGACGGTGTAATCTAGATTCAAGAAATGTCCGGTGGTCACATGGCTGTGTTGGCAGGCTGTTGGAGGACAGGGACCTGCATTAATCACCTTGTATCCTTACAAAATGGGACATATCAGGAATTTCATAAATGACTTACTGAATGAAGACTTGTGAACACAAAAGATACGATTCTCCTGCTGTAAGAACAAAACAAAGAGCTAGCCTCCTCCCCCCTTCTATAACAGAACAAGTATTTACTTCAAGCAAGCCAAGTGAGTAAAGCTGTTGGCAAAAGTAAATAAAAGTCCCAACCAGCCATTTCACTATTTGATTTATGGCTGTTCCTTGTATTCCCCCCCCCAAGAAAATGGGAATGCATTAGTATCCAAACACTTGTGACCATGAAAAAAGAAAAAAACTGGTGTGACAACTCTCTGGAAATTACAAGTTAAAGACTATTTTTCAAATTCTGGGAATTGTCTACTCAACAGTTTCTTTCTTGAAGAAAATGCAAATAACAGTCTAGTGCCAGGTTCTCTGCTCCCAATCTGTCTGTCAGCCCCTCCTCCAATCTACTTGGCCTTTCCTTGCTAGTAACACGAGTTCACCCTGGCTTCATGACAAAATGTATTTGTCCATAAAAACAATTGTGTCTCACATATATCTACAATATCAGTTTCATAGACAAAAAAATTCACATCTGAAAATAAGCGGGTATTTTTGAGAAATTATTTTTCTGAGATTATCTTTCTAACTACTGTTCTTCCCTTCTTTATTATGTAACAACTTAGTAAAATAAACCTGGTAATGTGAAATGACAGTCAAAAACATGGCTCAACATTCATCCGAGAGAATTACTTCTTGTTTCATCATTGTCTCTAGGTAATGGGGAGCTAGTATGGCTTTAATATTTTCTAAATTTTATGTTTCTAAAATGTTATCAAAATTGAAATAGCCTTACACTGATTTGTGTAATTTTATTTTGTATTCTACTGTCATACAACAATAATTACATGTACTTAGCAGGTACAGTGTGATGCTTCAATACATGTATACATTGTACAGTGATCAAATCATTTAGCATGTCAATCACCTCAGATAACATAAGATAATAGAAAAACATTCAGAATCCTTTCATCTAGGGATCTGGATTTTATAGTCTTTTAAACTACCTTTTGTTGCTATTTCACATGACACATTTTACGTATATATAATTATTACTAGCATTGTTTAAAAATACTATTGTTTGAATGTTAATCAAATTAGACCATGTATGTCATAAACATTATGAATCTTAAGAGTATTGGGATGTTCCTAAAATTCCATTCTCTGTAAAATTATAAATTAATTTAACAAAAGCTTAACTTTATTTACTGTGAAGAAAATTCAGTGCAACTTCATTTTTGTCTTCATGAAAATATTATGTTTAGGAAAACAGGTTTTAAATTTTTTGAATTTACTTGTGTTTTAATTATCAAAGTTTTAAAATATTTCACTAGGAAGTTATATACAAGATGATTCAGTTTTATCATCATTTAAAATAATGCACAAATGAATACTTTATGAAAAATTTAGATTGAGCTACATTTTTAACTCAGCTTTTTCACAATTCATCTAATTTGAACATTTTAGTGCAATTATTTATAGACTCTTCTCTATTTCTGACTTCTCAATTGCTAAGGAATGGTTTATCTAATTTATTGTCTCCATTAACATATTCAACCTCAAAATGAAAATACTGGGAACCTGTAAATCTGTCATTCATATTACTCTGGAGTAGCAGGTAAGTGGTGTGTTTGTTCTGAGGAAACACGCCTATTTGGAGAAAACTTTTCAAAAATTATGTATTTATTTATTAATTGTGTAAATAAAATCAATTATTAATTTGTCAAATTTCATGTAAAAGGATAGATATAGCACATGTTTTGTTTTTCACTTGATAACATTAAGTCAAGACTTTTTGCCTTCAACAGAAGAAAACCAAATAGAAAGAACAAGAAAACATTGTTTCCTTTCACAAGTAGATGAGAGTAAGCATTTCCTACCCAATAGTAACTGTGGCTGAAAAAATATCTAATATAAATAAATATTCTATCCTAGTTAACAAAGACTTCTGACTGGGATTCCAATACGATTTACAGCATGTTAATGTGTAAGATGAATTTACATATTCTAAACTAATTTTCAAACACAGTGAATAGTCATGATTGAAATGTGCACACAGTTCTAATTTCTGGTGATCAGCCTCTTTGACGTTTAAGCTGAAAACAGGAACTCTAGATCATGGTAGCTAATAGACTCAGTACTCAGCTCCCAGCTTGTTCTGTGGTCATTTTACAGGTGTATTCCAAGAAAATATTCTCTGAGCTCTGAGTCTGTTCTCTCAATGCATGCCCCCCCCTGCCCAGTGCACCAAAAGGAAACTAGCATTTAAGAATAGCACAGTAGTTAATTATAACTGCAAACACCCAATTTTTTTTCAGCTTTCCTTTGTCAAGGGCTTTTAAGTTTTGTTGGCCAGAGGGGCAATGGGTACCTGAATTAACCCTTTTTATCAGAAATATGCTGACAACACTTTGTAGGGGCAGTGGCAACTTATAAAATTAAAGTTGGCTCTTAAATATTGCAAGAGAAATACACCCACATGCAACTCCTATTCATATTAATTCTTATGAGCTTACGTGTAATTTTACATCAAAAAATCAATGTCTAAAGTGCAGTGTTTGCCTCCTTAGCATATCTTCAGCCTTCATCATAACGTTGTACCCACTGGTTTAGGCTGTGCTTAGAAACTTCCAGCATTTGAATTACCTTCCTACATGGCAGTATGGGACAACATCTCAATTCAGAGCTTTTCAAATATTAATTTGATGGAAATATCCTTTGATTTGGGGGCCTGTTCTCTTAAGCATTATAACATTTAAAACAGCATTTATTTGGCCGCCTTTTCCTTAAAGTACTTGCTTTTGTAAAACGTAATTCAGACATCTAAAATTCTTTGTAAATGAGTTTTAAGGAAACAGCAAATTACCTGAAATGCTATTTATTTTAAATAAACTGTCAGCTTAGTTTTAAAGCATATTATAAATTAGCCATTTCTAAACAAGTTTCACTGACAGATACATCATTCAAGGGAGGGGAAAATGAAAGTAGCTAAGCAGCTATGAAGGTTTTTGGATGAGGAAACTGCCCTTTTTTTAAAGCTGGTTCATTGACCGCGTGTGGGAATTGGAGCTTATTCTGAAGTCTAGACTTCACAGGGTGATTCCCCAAAGCAATGTGCAACAGAAGGCGCTGGGTCCCGGTTAAAGTTAACTGCTCTGGCTCTACTGTTCCTAATGCTTTGTCACAAATGCTTGGAGGAATGCTTCTTGCAATGGATTTTCTAAACAATGCGTATTACGAATGTCGCTTGTTTTTAAAAGTCAATCTCTAACTGCCATTTGGAACCACAGGGGATATTTAATGAATGTTTCCTAAGGGCCCTATCGATGTACTGACTCTTGACTTTGGGACTATTATTTCCTTATTTTGAAAATTAGGAAACTTAGGCTCTAAATGAGCCAACAGCTTGCTTCAGAAGCAGCGGTACCAAAGTGCAAGGCGTCTAACCACTGTGCACCACCGCCTCTCTGTGAGCTGATTGCAACAGGCAGGTCTTTGCAAAAGAAAATGGCGAATTTGGTTATGATACCTCATGGACATTCTTTACAGTGGAACCAGACTAAGATAGCGGCTCTCTTTCCTTGCTGCTTTTGGTGCTATTTGCCTGGGACTAGCTAGCTACTAATGCATCCTGACAACACTTGAGAGGGACTAGGAAATAGAAATGTAATTTGTTAGAGAAAATGATGGTTGGGATGTCCTCCGGTGGATAAGGATAATAAGTTCCAATAATTATTATAACTTATTTTGACAAGAAATAGAAAGGCTTTGAGATAACACTAAGTACTTTGACGCTTCCGAGGTGGAATCTACTCCATAAATGCCTTACACTGCCTTAAGTCCGCATTTGAGTTTTGAACTCTTCATTCTAGCACACTGACATATTTGGACTCACGGTTTTGTATGGAGGCTGCTTAGTTCTTTTCAAGGGGGGGAAGAAAAGGAAACACGAGTGTTTTAAATTTTCCTTCAGAGAGTAGAGGGAGGGCCAGGGGGAGGGAAAGGAAAATTAAACGGTCTATAGCCAGTCCGTATAATTTGAGGTTTTCTCACTAACCTCCCTTGGGAAATTATGATGTGACCTTTAATCGGGAAATGGTAACTTTATTACGTTTATCTGGCTGCACCTCTTCCATTATCGCCGGACAAGCTGCTCTCTGGAAGCCAGGCCTGGGGAACTGTCTTTGCACAGGGCCCCGCCGCCGCCCGCAAGCCTTGCGGTGTCCAGGCTGCAGCCCACTAGCGGGGCGCAGCTCTGAACCCCAAAGCCGGGCCACTCCGAAGCTCGGCCTTGGGTTAACTGAGATCGGCTGGGCGTGGTGGAAGGGCTGGGGGCCCAGACTTAGTCAACCCGGGACCCGTGGCCTGGCACCAGTGCGCGTTTCTCTCCACGGCGGCTCTGCAAGGCTCTGAGTCCCCCACCTCCCAATCCCCCGCACCAGGAGGCCTGGCTGGCCAAGCCTCTCCTCCTCACCTGGCCGTACTTGGCCTCCTGCTCCAAGGCCCCCTTCTCCAGTCCGTTCACTGCGTGCGGGGCGGCGGCCGCGAAGTTGTTGCGGCCCAGGCTGCTCCACTCCTCCACCTTGGGGCTGTGGTAGGGGGAGCTGTCGCTCACTCCTAGGGAGGTGGAAGAGAGTCGTCAGCCTCAATCCGCGCGCCCCCTCCTGAGACAAGACCCGAATCCCTAACCGCAAAGCTCCAGGGCTAAGACCTCGGGTCAACTCCCGTGCGCTAGGCCTCCTACCGGCGCTGGGCCCAAGCATAGACCTCTCGGTTTTCAGCCTAGGGCCTAGAGAACTTTTAATGGCCTGAAAGTAGGCCTCTGAGTTAAGTTTCACCCACGCCTTACGGAATTTTGTTGTTGTTTTTTTTTTTAACCAGCATTAGATTTCCTTTCTCCTTTCTTGATCTCTCAGGGAACGGATTGAAAGAGACGAATATTTTTCCAAATGGAACAAAGAACCCAAGTTGTGAAGTTGGATATTTGTTCCTCACCCCTGACCTTACTGGAGGAGAGTGGCAAAGCCCTACCATTGGGGAGGACTGATTCATTCGGGAGAGAGAGTAGTGGTCTAAGTGTGTCTTGCTCAGAGACAGCCTGAAAAATGCTCACTACTTTGTGGGGATCTGATAGTTCTGTCAATAAGACAGAACAAAAGACCTGCAAAGTCCTTTGCAAACAAATAACAAAATGATGTCCACAATACACATGCAAAATATGCATGCCCAGATTTCCACGCTGTGTGTCTGTGGGACTTCCCTACATTCTCTGCCTCGGCCTGCTAAATGAGTAAGTCTGTATGCATATTTTTAATTAACTCTGGAAACGACGTGAGTGTTAATGGTCAGCTATAAAGAAGGGTGTTTATAAGTATCAGAAAGAGAAGATGAAACAAAGCATTAAGAGACTGAAAGTAGAATTCAATGCTAAGGGGTGAAGCCATGTGCCAATCTTTCTGTTCTCCAAGGAGACACAAACCAAAAAAGTTATAGAATAAGGTGATTGTCACAGCATCTAGAGTTATGCATGTTGAAGAAAAGTACTTGAAGACTACACGCATATATTTTGTTCCTTGACCCTGTGTATAGAGTTTCACAGTGTCATTTAAACTTGATTTTAAACACTTCTGTCTGGTATAGGTCCTTCAAAGAATGGTCATCTGGGGAAGTTACCTTTTTAGCTGCACAAATTTGTCAGAAACCTGGTTGTCTAAAGGTGACATCAAAAATAAACAACAATATCTACAAGGAATTGTCACTCTCTTCCATAACCCCACACTTTCCTACCTGACATTTGGTCTGACTGCAGGATTCCCCAGAGAAGAAACGTTTTCTTTTCAACTGTCAGCCGATTTTCACCACACCACCCCCTCCAAACAAGTAGGTTGCCGGCTCATTTCTGCAGCAGGAAGCCATGGCTGGTCAGGCCTGATGGCCTTTGCCTTCCCGAACAAAAGGCAGTCGGTGGGCACAAGCCTGAAGTTATCTTAAGAAACTGAGATTCCCCCTCTGAGCCCCATTTCTGCTGATCTCACGCGTTCCCACGGACAGGGCCTTCCTCAAATGTCAGTGAGGTCAGTTTATCCTATAAATCACGGGTGATGTCTCCACCTAAGGCTCCAACTAGTTCCAAATAACTCAGAATTTACTCTTGCCAATTCCCGGTCAGAAAACAAGATGAGAAATCATGCACTGCTTTAATTACTTTAAAAGGTCATTGTGCCGGCGTGATGGAAACCCAAAAAGCCAGAAATGGTTATAGGAAATATTTTCCTCTTTCCTATTTAATTTTTCCTCTGCCTGTCTTAAACTTACACTGAAAAACTAGGCGGTAAATTGAGCGAATAAAACATTTTAAATGTCTTTTTCTTCTCCCTGCACCAAGAAAAGAGCTAATGTCTTTTAGATTGTATTTTTAACAGCACAATAAAAGAAAACAAACTGAAGCCTCGGGTGCTGGGAGATCTTTCCGAGCAGGCAGAAAAGATACCCAGGACAGCGCAAGTTCGGGCTGAAAACTCTGTGGAAAGGGGACCGGCAGTCACTGTCATTTCCTAGTACCCCAGGATGCTTAGAAAAGCGGGAGCCGGGGGGGGGGGGGCAGCGGAAAGGACAACAGCGAATCATCAGGCAATTGTCACCTAACTGCAGGGTTGATAATTCACGTCTGTTGAAGGGCAGAGGGAGGAGGGAGGGAGGGAGGAAAGGGAGGGAGGGAGAGAGAGAGAGAGAGAGAGAGAGAGAGAGAGAGAGAGAGAGAGAGAGAGAGAGAGAGAGAGAGAGAGAGAGAGAGAGAGAGAGAGAGAGATTGACTAGGAACCCGGACCTCCGTTTCCGAAGAAAATGAAGTGAAGCATAAGAACGAAACCAATTAGGTGACATTTGAACTTCCTGCCTGAGCAAATTTGGCCTGATTGCCAGAATCCGAGAATAATAATACAATTTCCACAGCGTGCGGGGCGCGTAGCTGCTGCGTCTGGTCGGCAAGCTAGTTACGGGCAGGCAGCGGTGTCTGCGGCTCGCAGACCCAAGCCTCCCCCACCGCTCCCCAAGTTGGCCGGCTGAGCTCTCCAAGCAGGATAGCCCGGCTGAGGCGGCGAGTACGCGAGAGGCGGGGGAGGGTGGAAAATGCGAACCATGTGTTGGGGATGGGGGATGTTATGGGTCTGGCAGTTTGAGATGAGGCTGCAGACTGTGTGTGTGGCAAGGAAACGGAGGGGCAAGAGTTTCAAGTTAATGAGATCAGGACACCCCCTGGGAAGACTCCTTAGGTTTCCAAAAGAAAAAGCCACAGGTGGCGGGGTAGACACTGGCTAGAGGCCGGAGGTTCTGGGGTTCCCAACAGCGTGCAGGAGCCCACTCTGCTCAGCACCCCGTCTCCGAGCCCCTTACCTTGGTCGGTGATGGAGCGGATGCCCAGGATGTCGGTGACAGAGTGAGACGAGGGCCAGGTGCGCGGCATGGCCACGGAGCCGGGGATGGCCGGCACCCCGGGTGGTGTAGGCACCTTAGCAGCCGCCGCAGCGATGGGACTGGGGTACGAGTAGATGTGGTTGTAGGGCAGCGCGGGCTGTGGCGCAGGCTGGTGCTGCTTGTACGAGTCGTAATGAGCCTGCTGGGCCAAGTTGCCGATCTTGTTGCGCAGAATCCGGCTGATGGAACTCACCGAAGGCACGTTGTACTTGTCGCACACGCCGTCCGCCAGAAGGCGGTCCCGGATCTCCCAAGCGAAGATGCCCGGGTCCCTCTGCTTGTAAGTCCGGATGTGTTTCACCACTGTAGGAGTGGTGACCCGGGGTTTGCTGCCTCCGATGGCTCCGGGCAAAATCGAGCCGGTCTCGTTGTAGCGCGCCAGGATCTTGCTGACGCAGCCGTGTGAGACCCGTAGCTGGCGGCTGATGTCACAAGGTCGGATGCCCAGTTGGGCTAATTCCACGATGCGAAGTCGAATGGCGTTGGGCAGCGGCCTTCCGTTCACGAACACTCCTCCCAGCTGGTTCACCTCCCCAAAGGCTGGCTCTGCAAAAGGAGCACAGGGAGCGCGACAACGCGCACCCACTGCTTGGGACAAACGCCTGTCACTCGGCCTCCACCAGCGAGCATCCGGGGACAGAGCTATGACACCCTCCTGATAGAACTGTGGCTGCCCCGAAACCAGACGGGCCCCGGCCTGGGCCAAATGGTCCCAAACAAGACCTCGTTCCTGCTTAGCACTTTCCAGCTACAAACAAGTAGAAAGACCCAGGGCAGCTCGGGGCACCCAAAACTCTCCGAAGCAGGCGGGAAATCGGTCCTGATGTGCCAGCGCGCCCTGGTTGCCTACTCGGCACCAAAACGTTCAGCCCCTGCTCCCCTCCGCCGTCGTATCCCCCCCCCCCGGGCAGTTAGACCGAGTCCAGGGAAAGCTGGGGGGTTGTTTTGGTTTTGTTCTGTTTTGTTTGCATGTGTAAACACGTGAGCAACAAAACTTGGATTGGCACTGCAGCTGCCGGACTCGCCCGTGCCACGGCCCTCTTCTCTTAAAATCAAAAAATGGCATTAACTGCCACACTGTAGCGGGAGTTCCCACTGCACCCCTGTCGCCTCTGACCCTTGGCATGCTCGCACAGCTCTTAGAGACGCGGTCTGAGTCAACAGAGCATGGTTGTGCGCCCCAGTTCCCTCCCTCTCGCCCTCGCCTGCTCACTCCCTCCCTCCTCGGTTCTGACAGCGTTCCCCGCCGCCACTCACCCATTGCTCCGAGCAGTACACCAACCCGGCCCCAGTTCCGCACTCCCGGAAACTTTTCTCCTGATCTCACTAGGCCGACCTGTCGCTGCTCCAAGACGCGACTGCCTCGGCTTCTCCCCGGGAGGAGGCGACGAGAGTGCCAAAGGAAAGAGTAAAAGGAAGTCTGTGCCGGGCAGAAAGAGGCTTGAGTTCTGCATTTCAATCTAAGCAGCAACGTGGGCTGGGCTGAGCAAGGCCGGGCGGCTCAATCTATCACTCACTTGTGACACACCCCAAAAGAGGTGGACCCGCGGGCACTCTGCGTTGTAATTGGTGCCGGCCGGTGAGTGACAGCTCAGTTCGGGGAAACTCCTTCCGCTGTCTGTTTCAGGCCGGCTCCGCACCTGGGTGACTAAATACAATAAATATGAGTGTTTGACATCTCCCCTCAGGGGCGCCACAAACACAGTGCAAAATCAAGCTGGTAAAAATGCTGAATAAGCTTTGGTCTCGGTTTGAGAGACTTTAAGCGAGTAGGGGCCGAGGACACAGCTCCGGGAAGAAGATAGACTTCTCAGAATTGAAATTGGAGGTTGGGACTCCAAGGTAGCAAGCGGGTGCGCACGGTTGAGGGAGCTCCGGGACACGACAATGACTGAGAACTTCCTGCAGTGCTGACCTTTAGGGACTGTCAAAAAGAATCTTGCCTACAAACTCTACCCCTTTCAGTCCACTCAGGATGAGGGGAGTTCAGAAGACAGGCCGATCGGAGAGACAGAAAGACCAGAGGCAGAGGGGGAGAAGCTCGAGGTGATGAGGACAAGGAGACCCGTACCTGTAGCCTGCCTGAGATGGTTAGCCCCGCAGTCACAGGCTAAACCTCAGTCAAGCAGGATGCTGGCTGGGACCGCCAGCTGTGGAGAATTTTTAAACTCCAGACTAAAGAGAGCAGGACCTCCACCGGGAAGGGGGGTTGATACCTGGAGCGCTGGTGGCAGAGGCCATTCACCCCCACCCCACCCCGTCTCGCCTCATTCACCCGGAACGCAGGGTCCTGGGTTCTCTGTGTTAAAATTTGCCAGAGTTCTCAACACCAGTGAGCCACCTTGAAAGATTTTTGTTTTTAATATGAAAGACAGTCCCAAGAAGGTAGACACCGCATCTGAGCATCTGCGTGTAATTCCCGTGACTTCATACCAGAGATCGTACAGTTCTGCCTACCTGTGGATTTTCACTTTCACTCACCGGAAGTCCAAAGAGGAGAAGAAAGATTGGGGATGAAGCAATACATTTATTTATTCATGAAGCCAAGGTTGTGAAGAATGTGAATAAGATAAGGAAAAGAAGCACTTTGAATAATGTGGGGGTTTGTATTACACAGGAAAGAGGATGGTTTTAATGTGTCTCTATCACGACTGGTCCCTCTTGTACACATAGGATGTGGGGTGGTGCTCCCATCCTTCCGAGCATTCAGGCTTACACACAGGGAAGTCAGACGAACCCGATGGGTCGCCACTCACAAGAGCCCAGGAAATCTAGTAACCGCCTGTCTTGAAAACGAATGCTGATTTTCAGGTGCCTGCTTCTGTGATGAGCATGCACTCTGAATTCAAATGACTGAGTTGCGAAGGATTTGAAAGATTACTTCAAATATCTTGTGTCATATCAGGAACATCGCAAGGTTTCACAAACAGAAATGCCTGAACATAGCCCCTAGTTTTCGTTAGTCGGTTTCAAATGTTTAAAGTCTTTGCAAAGCTTTGCTTGTGGTTTTACCCTTGTCTCCCGCTCAGTGTGTGTGTGTGTGTGTGTGTGTGTGTGTGTGTGTGTGTGTGTGTGTGATAGTCAGATGCCCTATAACAGGGAGAGCCCCGGGGAGCCAAGACTTCAGAAGTAGCACCCCCATCCCTCTGTGGGATCCTGTAAATGTCTTGAGACTCTGAGTCTGAGTAGAGATGAGAACTTTGCCTGAGACCTGTGCAAAGGAAAGATTATGTTCTGCCCCAGGTGAGGAACCTTCGTCCCGCACAAACCCATGCACACAGTGTCCTCTGGGTGTGCTCTTTGCTTAACTTCCGTGCACCAATGAGTGTTTCACACCCTTCTGGAGTGGTATGGTGTAGGGACAATGTGTCCAGCCTGAGTAGCAGCAAGACCCGGTGTCCTAATGAGACTCTGACTAACTTCTGTCACCCAGAGTGATCAGGAGATCTGTGTGTCTAGCTTGGGGACTGAACCCACAGCATCCCCTTGCCACTGCTACTCCTTTAGCTGGCACTGTGTCCCTCACTCTTGCACAGCACAGACATCTATATAGGTTTCTATCCGCTGAATCTGGCAGTTGGTGGCTTGTGGTCTTAGCGATTGTAATGCCCTGGGCATGCTAGGCAGCATCTTACTGGGCATAGGTCCTTGCCTCAGTGTCCCTTGGGCCCTCCTAACAGCATTGGGGGAGCGGGACACAGAATGAATCAATCTTGGATGTTTTGGGCCAGTCAGCACCCATGACAAACCAAAGTCGGTGCTTAGGGACTTTTTGAACTGGAGACACACGAGCAGAGAAGAGGCAAGTCACCTGTGACACTCAGCTAGTGCTGAATCTCCCCTTCCCGTGGGCACGGAGTGCCCTAGAGGCCAAGGAGCCTGTGATTCCTGAACTCCTAGCAAAAGCTGGAGGGAGGAGGTGTGAGAGAGAAGACAGAATGCACAAATGAACCCGAGAGAGGGGAAAAGGAACTTAGTGCCAGTGAGCCTTCCTGAACTTAGAGATGCAGGACTTCAAGAAAGTGTCACCCTGAGGGTCAGGGCCCCTGGTTACTGAAGTCTGGATCCAGGAGGTCATACAGGAATCGGGAGAATTTCTACTAAAAGGATAAACTTAAGACCAAAACCAAAACAGAGCCAGAAACTTCTGCATCTGGCTCAGGCCAGAGAAGCTAAAAAACCTTTCTCCCTAGGCGCTAAGGCCTCCTCCGGGGCGACCCCTTCTCTGGGTAAATATTTACTCAGTAGCAGACTGGAAGCTGGATGACCAGAGGGTGTGAGGGAGGAGGCTACACCAGGATCCTACACACTAGGCACTTGGGCAGCCTCCAGTGGAAGACAAACCCAGAGATGCAGGGGCAGCTAGGCCCGCACACGGCTGCCTGTGGAGCTTTATCCCAAGGGCTTCTCCTGCTCTGCTGAACGCAACCCTGCCCACAACGACCGAGGCTAGAAGCTTGTAAAGTCTTCATGAATCTGTCAGTGGTCCCAGTGGTCTCACCACCTGTGGCGCGGCGCGTCCCTTTCGGCACCAGCAAGGTCTGGGAGATGCGCAGGAAGTGGAACCTAGCTCTTCCCAAAGCCTCACACTAAGCATCGCAAGGCTGTGAGCGACTCTGGGAGCCATCGTTTGATCTCAGCCAGCACTTTAAGGGCAGCTTCTATTCGCTCGCAGATCCGTGGTAGCCGCGGAAGGGAAGGTAGGGAGAGAGGAAGGCGCCTGATAGTTACAGTGAACGCAGGAGGTAGGGCGAGAGTATTTAGGATCCAAACTCTGCAACTTGTCCCCCGCTAGAAGCAAACTGGGCCAAGCCAGGCTCAGGCCACTATGCCCTGCTGAGGATCAGTGGGAGTACAGAGAGGCAGTCAGAGTCGAGCTCCTGGACATGGAATTTCGAGTCAATGAGTTCGGGAAAAATTTTCAGGCAGTGGCTGGTCCTCGAGTCCGCAGGCCAGTGCCTATGTGCCGCATTGCGCTTGACTTAGAAAAGACAATTAGGCTCCTTCGGATCTGGTCACTCAATCAGCCTTGCAGAATCTGCGTTCCTTCACCCCCTGAGCTTCCCAGAAAATGTCGGGGCAAGCGGGGCACCCGCTCCCACGGCCAGGCCAGGTCCACCCGAGGAGGCTTGTCCAACAAATTTGTGTCCCGAGGCCCGGGTGGCGGCAGCAGCTAGAGGAAGCAACCACTGAGGTCTGTGGACAGGGCCAGCCTGCAGGGGTCCTCAGCCAGGCCTGGGGTAGGGTAGAATAGAGCAGGAGGGGCGTGCACACTGACCTGCTGGCCTTGGCTCGCCGGCGACGCTACAGATGCACCAGCGCAGCTAGAAGCTGCAAGGGACCTCAAGTGGAGCCCGAGGACTCCCGGACGTTGCTTCCTGGCTGTTCGGCCTTGCTTCGGCCCCGACGAACCACGCACACCGAGACCCTTTCCTCCTCTGTGGCAGGTAAGGCTGACCAAGGGCGGGCAAGAGCTAGGAAGATGCTCCCGGGGCGCTCGGGCTGGACGGTCGCGAGAAGCTGGTGCTGGAGGCTGGAGGGTCCGATGAGCGCTCAGCGCCGGCTCTCTACTTCCCGGGCCAGGGGAGGGAGGGGCCTGTTGCGGCCTGAAACCCACTTTTCATTCTCCGCCTGCCTGTTTCCGATCAGCCGGGGTTGGTTTTTCTGTTTGCTCACTCCTTCTATTACAATAAAAACAATCGACATTTCTTTTCAGTTTCCCCATATTAGCGTCACTCAGTAATTGTTCTCCACCTCCAGCCCCCCTCCCGCATTGAAGGCAAGCGGGATTGCTCGGGTTCTCATACTGGAAGGTTTCTGAGCATATAAGCAAATCTTCCTTAAAGACTTTAAAAATAAATAACGGCCCGGGAAATTGCTGTGACCCTAACATCACTTTCTGAACGCAAATTACACCCATTTTTCAGTTTTCAACGGTGGAATTGCTTTCAGAAGGACGCCTCTGAGCCTCCTGTGGTACGATTGCTTTGTTTATTAAAGCCCCAAATGAAAGGGAACGCATTTTTATTCAAGGAGCAAAACTCGTGGCTGAGAGACATCAAGTGCAATCATGAATCAGGTCTCCACTGAGGGATGGGAATAGTGGGCAGGCGGCAGGCTGACTCTGTAGCTGTCAGAAGGGGACCTCGCTTTGACACGGTTACACTTCTAGTAAGGATTTAGGGCGGTGGCGAGGACACAGTCCACGGTCACTCAAAACGACGTTGAGCTTTGACTCGGAAAGCTACAGCTGGTGGCAGGGGTGGGGGGACATGCGGGGGAGCATAGTCGCGGGTCCTTTAGCACAGCTGTTTGTGAACCTCCCCCTCGGAAGTTTGTGCTAGCGCAGTGAGACAGCCTCCTCGGAAAGACAGACCCAATTGGCCTAAAGCTTTCTGGAAAAGATAAAGGAGAACCAGGCCGCGCCTCTAGTCCTGGTTTTGGGGCAACACTTGTGAAACCCAGGAGTGGGGTGCGGGTTACCATGCTCAGGTTATGCGTCACACGGCGTTATTGGACGAAACTGAGTTGCTTGCAGGCTAGGGATCTAGAGAGCGCGCTTCCTCTCCTTGGCCCGGCTGCAGTCCTAGACCCTTGGATGGGCGTGAACTGCTGAGGTAGGGACAAACCGCTTAAGACCCGATTTATGTAGGGCATTTAAAGGTTCTGAATCAGCCTGCAAGAAGTTTCTTGATAATCGCGAGCATATTCGTTGATGCAGAGACCTGGGAATCAATCACAGTTGGTGACAGGATATTGAACTGGCACCTACTTAGACACTAGACCTCTGGGTCCAGCACTCTCCAGGTTCCCTCATCCAGCAGCCCTGCATGATGAAACACCAGAGCCTATAGTCATGCGGGCGGTGTTGTCCCCGTTATCCTCCCCACCCCCGAAATAAAGGTAGCAGGCTGGCGTGAAGAGGCAGAAAAGGAGCTATGGAAACTTTCTTAAAATTTTTTTTCTTTCAGTTCTCAGCCTGCATTCTCTTCACTCAGGCTCCTCATCGCTGCGCCACCTACAGGCACGGGATTATGGATCCAGCTCCGACTAGTCTGGGAAGGGCATTTGAAAATCAAAAGGCTTCGATTCGCCCTATACTCTTTAGCTTTTTGCTGGAGTCCACATAGCACACCATACTTCATCACTCGCCACGGCATTAATCCTAAGCACTGCTCTCTTCATGATAGCACAAACACCTACCACTCATATCCCCTTGCGGGACCTTTCTTTCGCCGCCCTTAGGACCCCCTGGGATCACTGATTTGTTGTTGTCCTTGCCCTGTGGACTGGGGAAGCTACAGGAAGGGGAGGGGCTTTCTTTGCTAGGTCCTCTCATTATTTAGTGAGAACCCGCGAAGTAAAACACAATAACCTTCTTAGGAGCAAAGCTCTTGTCTCCACTTTACAATAGGTAAAACACAGGCGTAGGTTAAATGTGATCACCTAAGACACTTAAATGAGGTTGCACATTGTGTATCAAGGAGTTAAGTCAGAGGCTCACTAGGCTCCTACTATACGTGCTCACGAGCTCTCTCCATTCCCCAACTCTTCTGAAATAGCTTGGTCCTAAAGCCTCCCCCAGAAGACCCCCATACTACAACTGTCTATAAGGAAAGTGGACACTTTCCAGCCTCCCCGAATCTTAGAAAAGAGAATCTCCCCAAAGTCAAACTCCAAAAGAGAACCTGCTTCCTAGGACACCTCAGTGAGAACAGAATGCCGACTGAAGAAAGGTTACTGTTGACCAGAAGAGAATGGGAAACTGAGCTTGGTTTGCTATGTCCCTTCCTAGGATGAAGTAAGCCAGAGCAGTGAGACAGATTGTACTGAGAAGAGGACCATGCATCCTCTAGTTACACCTAGCCTTGTAGCAAAAAGGGGGCCAAGGAAGTACCAGAAGAAAACCTGCTCTTTCAGTTCAATTTGCTTTGCAACTGCCAGGACAGGTCCACATGGCATAGCTCTTGATGTACTTACTCTCAGCTTGTCAACCCAAGCACAAGAAATAGTCACCTTTTTCTAGGGATTTGTAGTGGTGTATCTGTGTGTGTGTGTGTGTGTGTGTGTGTGTGTGTGTGTGTGACAAAACCAGAAGGTACCTAGAACAATAAAATTAGAACCATTATTAACACAGCTGGTGAACCCAAGTGACCAGGAAGAGCACAGGTGCTAGACAAGGCTGCTGCGCTTCCTCTGAGGATGTTTCGGGAATTGGCTTCAAGTCCCTCCCTATTTACATCTCCCCGAGGACAGCGAAGAAATGGATTGTTTCATGTTTAATGACAAAATGATTCTAGTGAGCTCTAGGAGAGGTGGCAACCCAGGGAAAGGAAAGCTTTGATTTGGTCCCTCCAGGCAAGGGTCTTTACTGGCTTGGCAGAGTTGGTTTAGCCTTGGACCCTGGTGAATTCGTTTTGTTGTGGTCAGTAGGGGGGGGGAGGGGAAGATGAGCGAAGTCACTTCCCAGTTGGTCCGACTGTGGAAATTTCAAACTGGTGTTTCCACCTGAAATTCCCTTCCAGACTAGGGTGTCACCACCCGCATCTTGACATAAGCCACTAGGGCTCTGCAGGCCAGGAGCAACATTCCAAGTGCAGCCCACCCTTCTGAAACTTCTCCAGCCAGGTCCCAATAAGCTACACATGGCGTTTTGCTTCCTTGCCTTGACAAGAGATTGGGCAGGCGCAGGTAAGACCTGCAGACTGTGTGCCCCAAGAAACTCCCTTCTACGAAACCACAGAAAATCTTTCTTTCTTACTTCTGTCAACTCTTGTCTAAACATTCCACCCAAGTGGTGCCTGCTGAGGAGCTGACCTTGCCCCCACCCCCAGCAGACGGTAGTTGTGAACATAGGCTGCAAGTCTGAGCGAGTGGGAGGCAGTAAATCGCCGAGGGACACGCACACCAGCAGTTTTCCATAGAAACAAGGACGTTTAAGGAAAACTCACTAGACACCCACCCATGCACCTAACCCTTCCTTTACTAAGCTAAGATGTATATAATACAGTATTATATATTTGCAGAATAAATGAATTTGGACACCGGGCACAGTTGTTTTTAAGGGTGGAGTTGGGGAGATTCCCGACATTGCACGATTTACCTTTCAACAACAAAATGGAGTAAAGTTAGTATAAATTGCCTCTCATCTTTTTATTCTTTTGCAGTGCTGAGCGCCAAACTCAGGGCCTCATAGATGCTGGGCAAGAAACATCCTACCACATGCCCATTTTGTCTAGATTCTATTTTAGTTGAAAACCAAACAATAATGTTGACTTTTGTCCTTTGCACAGACACAAAAATTGTTTTTTAAGGTTATGTATATAGCGAAACAATTTACTCATCTAATAAAACTACCTGTACATTTTAAAAGAGATACACAGGTGTTTAAGGGCATATTTTAGTCATGTAGCATTTTGACAAAGCATTTTTTAAAAACCTCCTAAGTCAGAAGCATGGGCACAGAACACAAAAAGCAAGAGGGTTTCCTGAAGGGGAGCATATAGGAGAGGGGGCTGTGAGACAACACTCACAGCTCTATAGCTCTTCTGCATTTTTGTGCTAATTCTTGTTAAAACTCTGCCTTACTGGGGTTTTTAGATAGCAGAGCCTTGCTGCTGTGAGGTTTCTGTTGCTGCTCTATACTCAGCCCGGACGGCTAATGGTTGGGGGAGGGGTCTGATGATTTCAGATTAGCACCCAAAATGCTGAGCCAGTGTCCTGCGTATACCAGAGCTGTACTAGGACTACCAATCCTGACAGAGACTCTCTGGGTAGAGCTGGAGGGCTGGCTGGGGAAAGAAGCCTGGTCCTGTTTCCTGCGGGGTCAAGAAGGCAGTTCAAGGCAATGGCCAAAGGGCGAGCTGCTACATAGTGGGCTGGAAAGCCAAGGTCACAGCTACAGAGGATTTTTAAAGCCCCCTAGCACCTCTTGCAGGACCTAAGGTGTGACTCCGACGCTCTGGTGAGCTGACAACACAAATCCCCTTAGCTGCTTTTATTGCCAGAGCGATTCCTATCCGTTTCCTTTGGGATTGCCTTCTGCCCTAACACATGGTTCTGTTCGGAGACACCCTTTCACTAGGGGGAGAAATAATGACCCCATTACTGGATGTTGGAAGAAAAAAAACTTTCATAATGCCAGTTTAATGCTAAAAGTGTAGTGCCCTGAAAGTCAGCAAATAGAAAATCCAAGATTCTGTTAGTTGAGTTAAATCTCCCTGACTTCATTTACAAGTCTTTCTAGCCAGGCCACTCCAGCAACCAGGACTGCCACCAATGCCACTGCTGTGCCCAAAAGGAAAGCCTCTCCACCCACTAGATTGGGCAGGTTCCTTTTGCAGTGTGAGTGCATCGAGCTGGCAGATTTCAGCGTGGCTTGTTAGATTAAAAAATAAATAAAAAAACATCACATTGTATGTATGGGTGAATGGGTTTAAAGCTAAGGAGAGCAAATTAATTTATAATTCACAAAAAACATCAATCCAACAAAGACAGAAACATGCTACAATTACTCACAGGCTTCCCAGATTGCTCAGATACTAAAGACAAAGAGCTTTGTTGCTCAAAATCAGTTCT